CCCCCCCCCCCCCCCCCCCCCCCCCCCCCCCCCGGTGTTTGTCATCGGGGTTGGGTTTTCGTCTCTTGGCAACGGTGTTGTAAAACAAGCCGCCGCCCCATCGGTGTTTGCCATCGGGTTGGACTTTCGTCGCTTGGCAGCGATGTCGAAATACAAGGTGATCACTTCGTGAGCTCGGCAACCAGGTTACCGTTTTTTTTCTTTTCGCCTTTGTCATTTTTTTTTGCGGCAACCATGAATGGTGGTCGAGTAGATTATGTTGTGCGGGGTCGAGAACCCTCACTCCGCGCCAAGGGGATAATCGCACCACGTTGTGTTGAATTCGCCAAGCACCCTCTAGGCAGTTTCACCCTGCTTACAACTGTCTCTGGAAGTGAAAGGACCAGAAATATATATTATGTTATACTCAGCTGTCATTATTTGAAGTGCTCACGGTGGGCAATTCATGGGTCGCCCATGGGCATGCCCAGTGGTCACCCATGAGCGGCCCATAGGCGGTCCATGGGCGATTTCGCACAGTAGTGAGGGAGCTTGTTTGTGGTTTGAGAGCGATATGTGCTAACCTCATCCCTCGATGTGGAAATATGTCACGAGTGCGCATCGGAGGAAAGCGAGGGAGATGAAAAGAAAATGTTTCCGAATCTTTTGTTCTCGAACGATATCATTAGTCCGAGGACATCTGCCTCGTGGTGAAAGTCTCCTGTATGGTATGCCTCCTGGGTGGTCTGATTTTGAACATTCCCCTGTCCCTTCACCGAAACTACCGTGTCCGGAGAGAGCAACCATAAGGTGTGTGTAGCTAGACGGATCAGAGTACGAGAATTCTGGTTTGCCTTGATAAACGACAGCGAACCCCTTATTGTTATTTATTAATAGAGCCATTCATCGATGCATACATCTACCTCAGTGTTGACGATGGTGACACCGAGAAGAACATCTGTAGTGGAGGAGTCCTCGTCGTTTTCACGTACGCAAGCATGTGCGTGTGTTTTAAATATTGCCATCGACCGCGCTTACGTGCTTGCCAATGAAATGACGTCAGTGTCAGAGAGGCACACACGCACCTCCTCACATGCCTCGCCCGGACCCATGAAGCCAGTGCGTGTTTTTGTAGCTTCATTATTCACATCGATCGCCCTAACCGGCTGAATGTACGTCAGCCTCAGGGTGGCAGGAATACAGAGCTCAATCTTGGAGTTGGGGGACGTTGAGGGTGCGATTGCACCGACCTTGGCGCCGTTCTAGTTTCTATTCATATCCTGGTGCTCTCTCCCCAACCGGTGCCTTCCGTCGGCCTCTTGCGATCTTTCCGCTTTCTTCGTCGACACCCTGCTCTGAGTTCTCCCTTCCTTTTCCGTTCCCCTCTGCATCATAGCTATCGCCGTATTTCCACCCACCAACTCTTTTCCATCACTGCTGAAATCCCGACCAATTTGCTCTGTTGTAGGTGGGAGTCGGTCGATCATTATCCCGTGCCGCTTATTGACTTGACGAGTACAGACGTACGTATTGATAGGAAACGGGCTAGCCCGAAGACAAACCGCCTCTCAACCTTGTTGGTGTAGAAAGCCTTTAGGCGAATAAAGCTTAGCCCGTTGCCACAAAATTCCTTGTAGAATGCTTCATGGGCCGGATGGTCGGCGGAAGCCACAATTATTTGTGTCTTTGCCAAGAATAGTAAGGAGGGTAGACCTAAGATGTGTGGGGTTGTTTCAGCACGCAATTTCTCCAGGTTTCATGCACGCTTCCTTCCCCAACCCCCGTTCGCACAGGGTGGCAAGGAAACCCTGCGTGCAACATTCGACATCTGGCGGAAGCGTGACTCTCGACCTGCCGAAGGGCACGAATGTGGTCATTGGAGCGTCAATGAACGCTCGAGGCAAACTCGTTGGTGACATGGGTGGGCCTTTGGGTGATGACTACATGGTTGAGGACGAAGGCCACAAGGGCAAGAGGGGGGCGACGCCCTACCCCGCTGAAGAGCTTGCCGTACCTCTTGACACCTGGTGAGGTTGTACACGATTAACGAAACCTGTACGCACGGCGTATGCAGCCGTTTCGTAGCGCTCTTCGAACTCGCTGGAAAAGCATGCATTTCATTCGAGGAAGACCGTACCACTTTGTACCAAAGGAGTACCCTCTACGTTCTGTCTATTGCGCACCGGATGCCCAACTGGGCTGTGCGTAACCAGCCACAGGTGGCCGCCTCCCTCTTGGCCAAGCTTGCCAGTCGGCGCGAAGGTGGCCTCGCTCCGTGACGAACCTGCTCCCCGCAAGAAACTGACTACGACGGGCAGGCAGTCAACCGAGCCTGGCTGGCACAACCTCAGCAATGCACTCGGAAAGGTTCAGCAATTCGCAACATATGAGCTCTCGGTCCCGTTGGGAAGCTGGTGAGAATCCTTCCGTACTAGCGCTCATTACAAGCTGTTTCCTCCTGTTCCAGCTCCCTTGCCCCCATCCTAACTTATGTGCGTGCAACCAAGCCCGTTGGGCTTCATGAAAAAAATCTGTACTGGCCACAACGCTGCGGCACGGCTACTCTACTTCGTGCGTCTCGTTTACAGCGCCATTTCATGCGTCACTGGTTGACACCAAAACCCGTCCGGCGATGTTTTGTTTGGAGCAAGGCAGTGCGGACACCCCACCGAGATCACGGTATTTCCCAACGTCAATGTAAGGCACCACCCTTAAACCAAGATGTGCCCCTTGATCAGGTGCACAAAGCCTATGGCCACGCCCTAATCTTGCCCTGTCCATGTGTTTCTAGATTTGTTCGCTGGAGAACCGCTGGTTCGCGACTTCAACTAATCAACAAACCCATTGTGCCAGGCTGGTCGACCCCTCTGCTTTCGAAAGCGGGAATACTGGAGTTCTTCAGTTGCCAGCGGGCATGACCTTATTTGAGACGTCGAGCAGCTACAAATGGGGCCAGCTTGTGAACGGTCCTTCTGCAGATGGCCGCTACGGCGTTCAATCCAGCACTAGTGGCTGGAAGACGACCCCCCTGCACGGACAGGAACTCGCTGTCCCCCTCGAAACTCTGTAAGAGCAATGAGATCTTTTATTCAAGCGAAACCATTAACATGCGGAGAGCAAGGAGTTCAGTATTGACGCTCATCGATGATCGTACCTGTACGTTGTGGTGGCAGGCGGCCTGCTCCCTATTTCATCCTTTGACCACACACCTTCGCGTCGCTCCACAGGCTATACCTGCACCAGGTGGCAGCGTTGGAACGACGCATCGACACACTGAACACTCAATTGAAGGAGAAATACGCTTGCAACATTAAGCTCATGACGGAGGCGATGAGCATGTCCACCGCACTGGAGAAGGAACAGTCCGATCTCAAGAAGGCCAACGACCGCATCAGAAAGATAGCCCAGGGCGAGAGGCTCATGCTGGACGCAGCAGGCGAGCATGACTACGGCTCCAACCTCCCGTCACCGGCTGACCTTGTACAGCGAATCGAGAGCATCCAAGAGCAGATGTTCGTTGACTTGATTCACCACGCCCTGGGAAATGACAGCAACACCTGGCTGGTAAACCAAGATGCGGCTGAGCATATCAAAATCCCCAGGGAATTCGTGATGCAAGTGCTGGTCGAGACAGTGCATGAGTGCTATCGGCGCGTCCACGAGTGTGTTTCGAGGCGGACGGAACATATTAAAAGACTCAAGAAGGAGATTGTGGGAGCGGCCCAACCCGGCCGCCTTGCCCATGAAGTGGAGCTTTTTGAGCGCAACGCCCTCCACGAGGGATACAAGGAGATATTCGTGGAGGTTTGCCCCGAATCTGACAGCGACCAGACCGAGCTGGCTCGAAAACTCTTCCACGAGCTTGCCGAGTGCATATCCGTTTCGAAGGTGTCACCGCGTGTTCCCACAGCGCTCCTCGACGCCACCATGGCAACCTATACGGATATTGTCACGACCCTTCTCATGTTATTCTTGGAGTGTGAAATTCAGCCGTCGACCACACTCAAGTTCTTGGGGAACTTTGGGAGCAGGGAGCCTTGGGACCCAGACAAGCACAACAAGGAATCATTCGACCCCTCGTATGAAGGGGACGACAAACTCGTGAAGGAGAGCACTCAGGTGCAGGTGGTAATCCCTCGCCTGTTCTGGAAGAAGAACGATGGCGACAGTATTACAGACTATTTTGAAACCAAGGCTTCCTTCGTTATTCGCGATACCTGAGCTGTTTGGTCCAAGAGATGCGATAGAATGTAGTCAGGGGTCCAGGTAGAAGACCATTCAACAACGCGTGTGCCGTAGCGCGACAGGCCAACATCCCTTTCTTGCATTGCGCCAGACCCCCCTTTGGTATACCTCTGCTACTCGGGGTTATTTTCGTATTGTCCTGTACTGTTTGCCTATGTGGCTCCCTTTCATGTCAGCGTATGGCGGGGATCTGCCCGGTCGGTGGGAATCCGGCGTGAATACGTCGGCACAGCATCGGGATGATGGGAGCACGCAGGCATTTACGTATTCTTTCGTCCCAATTTCAAATGTTTGGAGGTGCGTCTTGGGGAGAGGGCCGGTGAAAACCCGGCGACGAGAACCTATCCTATATAAACATGTACTGCGTAGGGGCACGGGAATGGAGTATGCCAACATTTTTTCGGTGGTTGGCGACCTTCATTCATCTTGTAGTGCTTATTATCTAGATAGCTGTTACAGCTTGCCCGGGTGGCGGTAGCGCGTCGGACTGAGCTGTCCTCGAGACGCTCCAGCAGGTGCTCCCGAAGGGGCAGGACAAACTGTTCGTACAGTTGTATATGCATATCAAGGGGTGGAACACTGTGGGTGCTGTTACGCAACTCGGTGATTTCAAATGAAGAAAACGATGATAAGTTTGTGATTGACTGACCCCAAGGCCCTGTTTTTATGGCAAAAAATGAACATGAGCGTGAGAAGCGAGGTGGCCAACACTCCCAACTACTCGAATGCGTCTATGACCAGAGCCGCCTTTCGTTCTAAATGAACCCGAATACGATGGCAGCAAGAAGCCAGTCCTTAGTCTCGGCGAGCAACAGCGTCTCAGCAGCAGTGGGTGTGTGCTGAATGCTGCGGTCGCTCCGTATGCTGTCTGTGCTCGGTACAGCAGCCTACCACAGAGGTTACACTTCGAGTGAGTGCAGTTTGAAGTTGATGTGTGCTTCGGAACGAAGAAACAAATAAGAATGTTGATTACTGACTGACTCCCGGGGTCAGGTTATAATGGTGCTGATGTGGAGTGAGAAGAGAGGGGGGGGCGAGTCCGCGCTCATCCTCGAAATCGTGGAAGTACTCAAACCCAGCAACGCCAACCAATCACACGCGTTCAGAATACGATTCTGGTAATCCAAGATACCCTACTGGCAAAAGACAAGGTACCCTACTGGTAAAAGCTGACGTCATGTTCTCGAATTTGCCAGCTACTGACAAATTATTTCATTTTGTCGAACTTGCCACGATATGTTCGATCTCATGTTTTGAGGCAAGTTGTACGGAACAGAATATTACCAAACGTACCTCCTAGAAACCATGTTCTCATATCAATGTGTCAACGACAACGTGTCAACCATCCAGCCAGATGTACAAGAAGACCCTGTGTGTGTGTGCACAACAAGTACTACCTACACATAGATACTAGATCAACCGTGCTGTGTTTCTGCAATCGAACACAGAGAGAAAACGTGACATGATGCTACACAGTGTGTGTGCGTTTTCGTTCTATTTATTACTAGAGTTGGAGGTGGAATAGTTTTTTGTGGTGGTTGCACAAAAGTACCTGCAGTAGGCTCGTGCGTCTGTTACAGAAGAACGGGGGGCGGTCCATCATCACCAGCTAGAGAGGGAGAGGGGTGCTATCCATCGTCATCAGCTAGAAGGAAAAAAAAACGTTGAACAATTCCCCGGCTGCTGCTGCTGCTGTTGCTGATTGTTTGAACAGGACGCTTCCGCCACCGCTTTAGATAACAGCAACAGCAGCAGCAGCAGAGGCGACACACCCTCTCGCCCACAATGAGTGTAGAGAGGTGCACAGCACAGCAGT